TTGGTACGGAGTCATTAGTCTCTTAGTTTCAATGATTTCTGTTTTGTTTGGACATCTTATCTGTGCTCAGGGTGGTTCCAATAAACTGTCAAGACTTTTTCAAATACATTTTATTAACAAGTTTACAAAACAAAGCAGAGTTGGTGAAAACGTGCAAGAATGTATCAAATGTTTGGACAGTGTTGAGATGTTAATGTTGGTTATTGTGCCTTTTCAAACAGTTTCTGAAATGATTCTTTAGTTTTTTGGGGTTTTTTTTTTGTTTTTTGTTTTTTTTGACCAAGTAGCACCTTTATGTGAGGGCGTGTTTTTCTCCTCTGGCAATACCTGGCAATGTTTTGTTGAGGAGAATCTCCCAGAGCTCGGCGGTCACGCCTTTGGGTGCTCTGCCAGCGTTTGCACAACACTCTTCACAATCACTGCCTTGGCCTCTTGCATTGGTTTAATTAGAGCGCTCTCTCCCTCCGCCCACCTCTCTCTGTCGGCTATGGAAAAGAACTACACAAGTACATGGCGCAAAATGATAGTTCCACACAGTTAATTACTACTTATGTCAAGTTTCCCATTAAAACAGTGACGCACATGGGCTGCTTCCATCTGCTCTGCTCTGCTTCCTGGTCACTACCTTGTAGAAATCATTTTGGATTTTAATCTATATCCTGCTTGTAAACTCACCATTATGTGTACAATGTTACTCTGAAGCATTACTGTAGTGTGTTAAAAGCTTGTGTGAAGAGCAAACGTAAGAGGTGGTTAATCAGTGAGGTTATGCTGCCCCCTTCTGCCTGTTAATACTTCTGCTGTGCATCCCACTGTCCTCTATCCTGTCTCATCTTAAGTTCAGTGGCAGTTGAATCTAAATTTGATAACCAATTTCAATGGTCTCAATTAACAAATTAAAAAAAGCTTCAAATGTCCTCTGCATAGAACAAAATATGCTCAGTTTGTCTCAGTGGAGTCTTATTATGTACAAAACTTACTAAGCCTGCAGTGTACACATCTGCAAGCATTTTCTACACATCTCATAAATTGCCAATCTAATCCCAATAACAAAATTGCAAAACAAATAGCTCTTTCTCTTCTGTTCACTTCTGTCTGTTCGTCTGTTTCTTCTTCCTCCTCTGTCCTCCCTCTCTCTGTCCTTCTTGCCCTCTTCTGTCTCTCCTGACCCCTCCTCTGTCTGGTCCTCTTTCAGCCTGCTAAAGTCATCAGTGGGCGCGCCGTCGGAGCCTCATCACCGGCGCTGCTGAACACATTCCTTCTGAGATTCTTCTTTCACTTTCCTACACTTTGACCCTTCACCTTTCACCTCTGAGGGCCCCTTTTCGACCTCGACTCCTTCAGGCTCTACTCAGTGAGACTCTGGACATGAACTGTACCATGGACACACCCCACAGAGGTCACCTGGGACTAAAGTGCATGGTTTTGAACAATATTACCTCCTCTTGTGAGAGTGAGAGACAATATATGAACCAGTCATTATCTTAAGGCTGGGTATGGACAGTTTGTTACTTGACTTCTATGTTCTGTTATCTTCTGTTGTATATTTTCTATTTGAGCTGGACTCCTCCTGAATGTAGCTTATTTTACTTGTGCTTTTTGTTGAGAATGCTGAATGCTGGACATTTGTAGTTACTGCAGGACAGTTCGTGTGGGTCTTGTTTCATTTAAAAGCTTTAGCAAAGTGAATTCTTTAATGTTACTGTTCTTTTATATTTCTGTGGCTGTTGCACTTTGTCAGATCATAATAAATGCCTCTGCTTGAAACGTAAACTACTACTACTTTATTTCTATAGTAGTTTATTGGTTTATTATTATTACAAAGCTCATATTTTGTCTAGATTTAAGCATGCTATTATCAGTTTCCCATCACAGTTCTAACTCCCTCCTTTTCTCTCCGTTAGGTCTCCGATGCCGCCTCAGCCTTCATATGGCTCCAGTTCTCCGACACACGGCAAAGTGAACAAACTCCCCTCAGTGTCTCAGCTCATCAACCCCCAGCAGAGGAACAGTCTGACCCCCTCCAGCATGTCAGGCGGCCTCACTGACAGTAAGTGTAGTCTCCTCTTTACACCTCAACATGTGATCTCATCTTTGAGTTTTACGGTGTTTTATACAACAAAAAAGTGCTTAAATAGCTGAATGATCTTGCTGTTATATTTGTAAAGTTAAAGATGGGGTACCTCATTTTCAAACAGCGAAAGGAGAAAGTATGTATTTATGTAACTTGTCTCTTGTTCTCACAAACCATTTGGCACATTGTTAATATGCGTATGCATGAAATTTCAGGTACATGCACAGCTTCAGAACAGCTTTTATCATTACCAAAACACTGTCAATTCTAGCACTGCTTTCAGCTCTTACTTCTGAGTTTTCGAAAGATTAAACATACTTTTACTACACATACACTTTGTGACAAAGTGCACTTTTACAATATACTCATGGTTGTAAAAACACATTTAGAAGAATAAAGTCGGGTACCCCAACTTTAAATTGTTAGTTGTTTAGCTTAGTTTTTATTTTGAAAGGGCAATGTAAAGACACATTAAGCTCATAAAAAAAAAAAAAAAAAAAAGATGTTCTGCACCAGATTATAGTTCAATAGCTAGTTTCCATCTGCAGTCAAAGTGAAATTCTTGTTATAGGACAGTAAATAAGGGCTGTAGGATTGCAGGATTATTTTAAATCCAAATAATGAAAGCAGTAGCCACCATCAGCCATCCAGTGATAGTCCCACACACAGAGCTGACGCGGCCTCTCTTGTCTCCTCAGTGACTCCCATGATGGGCACTCATATCCCCATGGGCGACATGAGCTCACTGAGCCCCACACACGCACTGCAGCCACAGCTCCCCCTGGTGCCCTCCTCGCAGCACTGCACCCCCCCTCCTCCCTACCCCATGGACAGCAGCATCTCCAGGTACCCCCCAGCACAGACAGATAGACACACAACCATACAGGGACAGGGAGCACAGCACAGCCAAGACTAGGCTCACACTGGGGGAACCAACAGAATAGGACCCAAGAGGGTCAAATATCGGAAGAGATACCTCTAGTGCTGTTGCCTCATAACAATATTAAATGACATTTTAAGTCCCAGAACACTGCATGGGGAGACGCACATTCAGATTTCACATTATGACATAATTTTCTATAAAATTATTGTTTTTAATCAGTTGATTTAGATAAGATTAGATCAGCTTCAGACCAGAGTTATTTGTTTCTTTACTTGAGTTTCACTGCATGACTTTTAGAATTGATGAATAAATAAATTAGCTTAGAAAAATATAAATATAAATTGTCTATGTGGCTGACAGCTCTTCTCTCTCCCCACAGTTTCCTCATTCGGCTGGGCTGCGCAGGCTGCTTGGACTACTTCACCGCACAGGGCCTAACCAACATCTACCAGATCGAGAACTATAACATGGAGGTGAGCCCTTGCCTATCCCAGTCCAGTCACACTCTGGGGTAGTGCCTGAAGTCTCACCCCACACCTCACCCCACACCCCCACCTGTCCCGCTCTGGCCCCATACTAACCGCTACTGTGTAATGGTGTGATAGGACCTGTCGCGGCTGAAGATCCCCGCTGAGTTCCAGCACCTCATCTGGAAGGGCATCATGGAGCACAGGCAGGCCATGGACTTCTCGCCCCCGCCCCACATTGTGCGCACCACCAGCAATGCGTCCAGCGTGAGCGTGGGTTCCTCGGAGGCACGCGGGGAGCGGGTTATCGACGCCGTGCGCTTCACTCTCCGCCAAACCATCTCCTTCCCACCCCGAGATGAGTGGTCTGACTTCTCCTTCGACCTGGATTCACGGCGCAACAAGCAGCAGCGCATAAAAGAGGAGGGAGAGTGAGAGAAACAATCAGCGGCTATTTGTCAACCAATTCAACTACTCTTCAATTTCGGAACATTTCATTTTTATTTTTTTTAAACTTTTGATGTATGTGCGGAAACTGCTGAAAAACAAGCCAAAATGCACTTATTTTTTGTTAGGGTTTAATATGGAGGTGCTTAGGTGCATTTTTAGTTTCGTCAGAGCACTTAAGAATCGCTTAGGATTTCTAGACTGCTTGGAGTTAAGTGTTCCTGTTCATTCCATTTTAATGCATGACTGGAAAACTACTTTACAATAGGGTTTTGTTTTTTTTGTTTTTTCAGGGCTGATATTTTTGCAAAGGGCCGTAGCAAACCGTATTCATGTTGTCGATGATGTCTGTGTCTCATACACTGGTTTTGTTTTGAGGTAGGAGTCAGCATTGATTGTATACATTTCATTCATTTACTTTGAGAAGTATTATTTGAGGGCAATATTTTCTACTGTTATTTTGTATGATTTTGAGACCAATGTGCCATGTTTGTTTTGAAGTATGTCTGGTCATTCATTTGATGTAGCCACTTATATAGGCCTAATGCTTTTGATCCAGTGTTTTTGTATATTATGACTGATGCTTTCAAGGCTTTAAATGCAGTGGACGCCTAGCACAAGTATTGTTTATTATGGTAGAGGTGCATTTCATTTGATACCAATTCATTTTACTTTGTGTATATAGATTTGTATAGATGCTCATTATGCTGGTATATGTGAATACAGCCTGGGTTCTTTCTCCAGGAGGAACAATATTTGTTATAACATGCATGCATTATTGTAGTTCAGTTACAGAGCCCAAAGTTCAAATTTGTTCACCGTCAGAAGCAAACACAGCAATCTGTATTTTCTTATTTTTGTACAAATTTTGTAAATATCAAGGGTATTTTGATATAAATTGAATAATAAATAACCATTCTGTTGTATCACTCCTGTGTCAAAGTCATTAAGTCTTATGGAAAATTCATAGTTTTCACTTGAGCTTATGTAAAATAATAAAAGGATTAATAGATTTTATTAGATGTATAGATGTATTTAAATAGATTCACTCATAGAGCTTTGCTCATCATGTAATAGAATATATTTTCTAAAAGATGAATATGTCTATAAAGACCAGTGCAAACAGGAGCAGAGAGGGCCCAGGTGTTTAATATAAACATAAACATGTTTATTCTACTGTCAATGTTTTATTCTGTACACATTGCCATTATTTACACATAAAATGTGCTTAGCTTACAAAACAAAAAACACTTCATCCTCCTGTACAATTCCAACAGTCTCTTTACATTAGAACAGTTCACTCAACCTCTGCCACATGGGCCACTTCCACCTCCATGGTCTGGATGATTTCCGGGGCATCCTCTTTAGTGCTGCTCAGAGCCTGCTGTGCCAGGACGTAGTTGACCACCTGCATGATGCCCTGGTCAGACAGAGTGGACACACCCTCTGCTGCGACCTGGGCAGCAGCTTGGGCAGCTTGTACTGCCTCCACCGCCTCCACAGTCTCCTCTGTGATCAGTACAGTCTCTATCTCCTCTCCGGACGGCTGTGGCTGCCGGAGTTCAGGGGGCAGCTCTGAGGCCAGGATGCTGACCGCATGCTCCACTTGCGTGCCCTGGTTGTGGAATTGCAGGGTGTCCTTCTCCAGCATGATCTTCCCGGGCAGGTTGTCCGTGTGGAATTTGCCCATGTGTTTGCGGAGGGTGCGGGCATCGATGTGTGCCTCCTGACAAATGGGGCAGACGTAGGGCCGCTCGCCTGTGTGTGTGCGCACGTGACGCTTCAGAGAACGAGCATCTGCCCACGCTACGCCACAGGTCAGGCACTCAAACGGCTTCACTCCTGTGAACAACACACCATGTTAGCTCAGGTCCTCAAACATAACAACACAAAACAATACTATTTCAGATGCCGTCACAACATCAGATCTCATTGTTTGAGGTCTAAGGCAGGGTAAAGGTCTAGGGGAGGGTAGAATGCCATTCTACAATTTAGTTGAACACATTCAGACACAAGACTCATATAACAGGTTTGTGAATCTAAATACTCGTCCTGAGTGACTGACCCTGGTGGTTGTTGATGTGGCGTCTGTACTCTCGGAGCTGGGTAAACTTGCGCCCACACTGTCCGCATTCTCTCTCCAGGTTTTGCTTCACTCGACCCTTCTTGCCATGAGTCGCCTTCTTCACATGGCGTCGGAACAAAGCCTTCTCAAAGAACTCCTTTCCACAAACGTTACATCTGGACACAGGTGAGACATTATTGGCTATTTCAAGACGGTACTTCCAGTAGGCCAATATAAACTAAAATAATCTAAAAAATAAATCATCTAAAATCATAAACTATCTGTTAAAATAATGTGCACTAACTTGTAGGGCTCTGCAACGCTGTGGGACTTGACGTGGGAGTACCAGTCCTTCTTCCAGCTGTAGCACTTCCCACAGACTTGACACTGGAAAGGCTTCAGTCCCATGTGTTTGTTCATGTGCTGCTGCAGGTCTTTGGCCTCAAAGAAGCGCTTATCACAGCTGCAGACACAACATTAGGCCAGAGTTAACTACAATTCTTTATGTCATATATTGAGTTAGTGAATGCTGAGGAGCACTGACTGAGTGCAGGCGAAGGGGCGCTCGTTGGGTTTGGGCTGGTGCTTCTTCATGTGTTTAGACAGAGCAGAAGCGCGGTAGAAGGTGGCCCCACATGTGTTGCACAGGTACTTGGACTGGCCTGTACAGAGAGGACAGAGATGAAACATCTGTCTAGGATAAATCATATAGGATTATCCATGGGAAACAGAGTGATTAGCACCGTTCCCATGTTATTAACAATAAAAAAGCTTACATATTTTTTAGAAAAGTCCACAAAATGTCACCTATAAACAGTATGCTGAGACCCATGGATAAAGAACTCTAGTGTACTGTACTAACCAGTGTGCAGGCTGGTATGGTCCTCCATGCTCCTCTTGCTTACAAAGGTCTTGTGGCAGTACTGACACTGGAACTGTTTGGAGACATCGTGCAGTGTACGGTGCATCTTCAGACTGTGTTTGTGAGCGAAGGTCTTTCCACAGACTTTACAAGAGTGTGGCCGGACCCCTGTGTGGCTCAGCATGTGCAGGCGCAGAGAGTAGAGCTTTGGGAGGGTTTTACCACAGATGTCACACACAAACTCCCTCTTAGTGTGGGCCATCTGTCCCCTGTCGTCTCCATCCTCCACCCGGGGCTCAGGGCCCACCTCCATGACACGAGCGGGGCCGCGCTGACTGCTCTGCTGCTTATGTCGGGCCAGATGAGTGCGCAGAGAGGCAGCGTACTGGAACTCCTTACTGCACAGCTGCACCATGCACACACAGATTCAGAATATAAACTAGCACATACACATACATGTGGAAAGTAGAATGAAACTCTTCCAGGAGCAGGACTACTCACGCTGCACTTGTAGCTACGGGCCTTCTCATGCTTGAGTGTGTGCATGATGAGAGAGTACCTCCTCTGAAAGGACATGCCACACTCGGAACAGGTGTGCTCTCCGTCCACTGCACTGTCCGATGCCTCCTCCTGTTTTAGAGGCTCAGGCTCTGCCCCCTCCTCCTCCTCAGGGTGACCCTCTGCAGTGGACACCATGTTCTCCACAGAAACCCCCTCAGAGCTATCCACAGACCTCTCCACAGAGCTCTCCACAGGACGTTTAGGTGGCCGGCCCCTCTTCCCTGAGCGCACTATAACCTACAACAGGATATTCTGTTAAGTACAACATTATCATTCTGACCCTGAGTGTAAGCACAGTTTAGTGTGTACCTTTGGGGGAGTGGCCTGAGGAGGTGAGGTACTCTCACTCTCCTCCTCCTCCTCTTCTTCCAGTCCCATATGCAGGCGTGCATAGCCCCCTTCAGCGATGGAGCGGTGTCTCAGTCTCCTCCGGCCAGATTCCTCTTCCTGGGGCTCAGGGCTGTCCTCTGGGACAGGCTCTTCCTCCTCTGGCACAGGCTCCTCCACAACGTCCTTCTTCACTTTGGCTGGACGCCCCCTTCTGCGCTTCTGTGGGGGTGGGGCTTCGGTCTGAGGGGCAGGCTCAGTGTGTGTTGTGTCATCAGGACATGAGGGCTGAGGTAGGACAGGCTCAGTTTGGGTGTCATCCACTCCTCTGTCTGAGTCCACTCTGATAACATAGGCCTGACCTGGGGCTTGGGTGTCCGGCTGCTGCTCCAGAGCCAAACAGGCAGACACCACAGCCAGGGAGTCACTGGCCCCTGCCTGCCCGCTGTGAGTGACCACCGTCATGGCCTCGTCCTCCAGCGCTTCTGCTCCAGAGATCAGAGTGACTGTCTCACCAGGCTGCGGTTGAGTGTGGGCGATCAGAGTCACTGTCTCAGATCCTGCCCCCTCATCGTTTCCCGGGGTGACCACAGCCATTGGTTGTTGAATGAAGTCTTTATTGGCCACAAAGGCGAGCTGCTCCGGAGTGACCGCCACAGCACTGCCATTGCTATCGATGGCTACTACATAGGTGGTGTCTGCAGCTTCTGCAGTGATGTCCTCCTCGTCTTGCCCATCTCCGGGGTCCAGGTCAGGCTCGCCATGAGCAGACACCACAGTGTGCACGTCCCCTCTCTGATACACTGTAAGCTTCTGCTCCTCCACCTTTTTGTGCACAGATTCACAGATTTGTAACACCTCCGTCATTAGCAGGTGCCGTGCCAGGTTGGCAATGTCCGCCATGAAACAGAAGTTAAATGTGAGAGAGGAGGTGTAGGCAAAGTCCAACAGGGGCAGAAAACTGGCCTTTGTGAAACCTGTGGACACAAGGAGAATTAATCAGAGCAGAAAGAGCCACAGCAACTTAACAGCAAAACAGAAAACAACTACATATATAAACGAACTACACCCCTTTTGTGTAACGGTAGGACTGACCTGAAAGGTCGACCACAGCCTCATGCGTGGAGGCAGCCCCCTTCTCAAAGAAGAGTTGGTGGAAATAGTCACTACACGCTGCGAGCACCGCTTTGTGAGCACGGAATTCCTCCCCCTCAATCAGAAGAGTGATGTCACAGAACTGATTATTGAGGCGCTGATGGTTCAGTTTGTCCAGCATGGTCCCACTATGTTTGGGTAGGAACTGGTTTACCACCCCTTTACTGTCCACCTGCATCAGATAGACAACAGAATATTCATAACCATCCAATCACTCTACTCCAAAAAATAGGTTTCTTTTTATTTCCTGGTTATAAAAAAAAAGTATTTCAATTCAGAATAAGGCAAAAATGGCTACTGTATCACACAGATAAAATGAAAACAGATGAAAAGATAGGGAATAATGATAGTCTAATTTGCACCTTCAACAGAAGCATCTTGTAAAAGATCAGTTTAAGATTCAGAAGTTATTTTGACTATGTTTGTATTTCTACTAGTGACTGGACCCTAAAATTCACTGTAACAAAAAACTGCATTTTAACACTAATAACTTTAGCTGCCCCTCCTCTGTATGAACACAGCAACACCCCATTTTATACATTTCAGTATTAATTTGGATAGCCATTTTGCTTTGACAATAAAACAATACAAAAAATGCTATATTTAGTAAAGGGAATTTTAGCATTAAAGCATTGATTCAGGTGGCCAACAATCCCATCCATGCAACTGTGTCAAACTATATGTTGTATAAGTAGTGTTGTCTTTAATACTTACAAACACAAGTTCATGTTTGGCCCTTAGCCGCTCAGTAAAGAAGGAGCTATCCTCTTCATCCTCCTCCTCATCCTCGTCGAGGACTTTGCGTCTGGTACGTCCAAGTGGTCGACCAGGACCGTCCTCGCTGCGTTTGCTTTGACAAACTGCACATTCACGGATGATGTCCTTCACATTCTTAAGGATACCTACACAAATCAATAAAATTTTATCAATGTCCTGTGATGTGTTTGAAAAATAATTGTTATGCATGATGAGTGACAAGTTGTACATACTTTCTGTGATGCAGAATGTCCATGTTATATTTTTTGTTAATTATTGTTGCAAGTTGATATTTGCAATAAAACAAAAGATGCAGCATATTGGATCAGGACTGTTCCAAGTCAAATCTTTGATGAAACTGTTACTGAAGCTTTTACAAGAATACTTGGATTCAACTTCGTTTTTTTGATTATATAGCTAAGCATTAATATAGAAACCAAAACCTGTAGCAGCAATATCCACTAGATGGAGACAGATTTGCATGGTGACTGGTGGCGCACGTAAATATGTGGTCACAGCGTGAATACGAGTCACTAAAGCAATGTTTCATCATCCTTTGTATACAGTGTAATGAGTCCGGAATAATGTGCGGACAGTTGGTACCTCTCCACCAGTACTTCTGGGAGATGGTGTCCCATGTGGCTTGCTGGTTCAGGTGCTCCCCGGTGTCGCTGATGTGCGCCTGGGTGATAAGTTCCTTCTTCCGCTCGTCCTGCAGCACCACTTCCAGCTCGGTAAAATCATCTTGGCCCTTGAGCCGACGCTGGTAAAATAAAGTCCCATTTCTCACCACATAGCACACCGCTGCTTTGCGTATTTTTCTCTTGGTGTTCCCAGATGTACCCGGCGCGTACGGCTCCCTCTCGTCGGTCAGATAGCGTATGATCGCCAAGTAGCTCTCCTCGCACGACATGTCTCAGATTACCCGCGTTTATCACCTCTTTTCAGCTTTCCACGTAAAAGAGAGGCCTCTTCAGGTTCGTGGTAAGGCGTTATGAATTTTAGGGGTCCATCAAATGCAAACTGAAGTTGAACAGACATTTGATAAAAACATTTTAAATTGTTATTTTAGGGTGGAACTGGAGTTCGTTGTCGTCAGGGCAGACTTGCCAGAACAGACAAAATGGCTGCTGCACAACCGGATGTTGCATCGGTAAAGACGGAAGTGCAGTGTATTAAAGATAACCCAAGGTGGCGCTATAATCAAAGGTACTGCGTTGTTATGGGTGAACAAAACTGAAATTGAAGTTTATCTGGCTATAAAATAAAACAACACGAAGAGTTATTTAACCCTTTGAAATCCTGCACTACCCAAAGTGTAATATTTATTCATACATCCTATAATTTATATTAATAAAACAATTAAAAAATGAGTCACTAATCAAGTGCACGCATTCATACATGATTTGTCAACCTTTATGACTTTTACCCCAATTTGCACTTATTAATACAGTTGCATAATGTGAATTATTCTATGCATGATCTTTACAGATAAAATCTTTAGACCTGTCACGTTCAAATCAATAATCAATTCAGTAGTTTTGCCAGACATAAGTAAGTTGTGAAAAAGAAACTCCAAATAGAAGAATATCAGCTTAAAGAGCACAAGTCATCTACACTTTCTTCACGCAGCAAAAATTGTTAAATGCAGTTCTTTGCTGTGACCTCTGTGCTACCACATTATACGGGTCACCACTCGAAGGCTAGAGTGAATTTGAGGGAATTATTCATTTCAGCACCTCACTGCAGTAGCACCTCTCCGTCTGAATCTCAGTGACCCAGAAGACATGGGAAGCTCCTAATTCAGTGTTCATCCATGTGTCACATACCAGAGCCACATCAAACACCAATCTCCAGTCTCCCCGTGCATTCCTGTTTTACACTGTTTACTTTTTTACACTTGTAGCTTTTTGTGGCTTCTTTTAATTTTTTTTTTATTTATTTGATTAATACTTCACTGCACTACATTGTGCTGATACACATGTTTTGACCCATAGAAAGTTGTGTAATTAGCTTGGAATTGGGATACAGAGCTGGGAGAGACATTCAGCAAATTGACTTTGCAAGGAACAGATCTCATGACAGAGAGGTATGGTAGTCTATAGGTGTTTCTCAAATGTTGGTACATCATTCCTTGAGTTCCTTCAGGTTGTACTTTGACAGCTCTTCAATCATTTAGAACAAACTTTTGTCTTCCTTTGCACAATGTCTTGTTTAGAACTACAGTGGAATTTATGTAGTCCACTTTTTGGCCTGGTTTAGCCCTAGATTAGACCTGGAATAATCCTGTTATAGACCTGGTTTAGTTCTGGTGGTATTTGGACAGATAAATCTTTATTTTGGTGGTAGACATACATGGTGCGACAAGTTTAAGAGCCACTGCTATAGGTTATGTGTTGCAACAAAGTGTGTTGTATGTGTTGCCTGACAAACCCAGAATGATATTTCTCTGTATTTTTATACAGATTCATAACACACCCTTCGTCGTGCCTTAAACTCAGTCAAATATGACGGTACCAACAGATTTGTCTTTTTTCAGTGACGCATGTGAAAAACGAGCTCACTGGTTGCATATCATTTACAAATAAAATCAAATTTATCTCACCTCAGATTAACAAAGTTTAGTGCTTCGCTCATTAATTCGGCAGAAATTGGCAATGTTTTTCATCATTGTGATACTTTTTTCCTTTATAAAACATCCATGTTTTTTTTTTTTTTATTTACACCATGTAAACCAGAACTCTCCAAGTTACTATTTTTATTGATCTGAACAATGCCTCAGTTTTATTTCAGACAGTGGCTTAAAAATCTCTTTGAATCACTGCTGGAGCGCTACACAACTAGACCCTTAAGTCAAACAATCTCTAGAAACACAACAGTAATCTACCCCTGGAAATTTAAGAGTGGGTCCAGCATTGTTGAAAATCTTTGGACATGATCTGTTCTGTTCTTATTGCTGCTGCAGAGTCCACTCTTGGCTCTGCTCTTTGTTTATATGAGCGGGTTTATTTGTACCATGACACAGGCTCCTGCGTCAGAGAATACCACACGTGCTCATTCATTTGGATTTAAGAGCACTCACAGACGGAAGAGCTTTTAAAGAGAGGAAATAAAATGTAGGGATGATACACAGATTTCAAAATAGATAGGCCCGTATCAGGATTTTCTAACAATGCCATACACAAAATAAGAACTAAAAATAAGACTAAAAGAAACAAGACAGAAAAGGAAACATAACTGGAATGATAATGTTAAAAGTATGAAATGCTTAATAATCTCAAAATGCTTGTTTCATGAAAATAATGGAGTGTCTTTATAATGATTGAAATTTAAGTTTTCTTTTTTGGAATTTACTTTTATGAATGCGAAATTTTTGAAATTCTAACAGACTGTGACTGTTTAAATAACTGTGGCTATGTTTAATTAATGCTAGAAGTTCAGTATCCTCTGTACAGCATCTGCCTCTTCCTGATGTCATTGATGCCATTTGCAGTCTATTGTTCTGTGAACGACTGTGGCACTGAGCGGTTTACCGGACGAAATCAAAGGCACGTGAGTCACAGCCACAACAGGAAGTGTCTGTCACATTGGCAAGAATGCTTTTATCTCAGACAGTGTGTAGGAAAATGCGTGTGTAGTAATTAAATAAGATGGTTTCACAACACCACTTAAGAGTCAAGAAATGTATTCACCACAAAAGTTAAGAAGTTAAGAAGTCTAGTACAGCGCTCTTAGCGTAGTTAATACAAATATATTATAATTCAATTATTTAAATTTCCTTAGATTTTGAAACAGCCACATGCCCTCCTCAGCATAAAGCTGTATTATGTAACTTTTTTATATGGGATATACCACCTGCTTGTTTCCATGGAAATGTTATTTCCCTTGAATGTTCCACACTATGGTATTGACCTGACATATCGCACCAGGACCAGGTTAAGTTACAAATCAGATCTGTGTTGAGGCGACCCTCTTCCCAATAAAAATGCATTTGTTTTGGCATTAATAACATTTGTAACTGAATAAATTCAAGATGAATATATATTTACATACTGTGGAACTTTTCATGCAAAGCAATAACATCGTCATGGAGATAAGAAACACATGGAGATAAGACCTTCCACCTGATAAGATACTTTGCATCTTTAATTCAAATATGTGTCTTTAGATAAGGTTGAACCTTAGAGGCATTTTACCTATAATCTCTGATAATCTAATATACATAGTCGCGTATCAGATACATTTATATTCATTCTGTTTTGTGTTATTGAAGTATATTCTGTGTCAAATGCAGAGTAAACTTTAAACTAGAGGTTGATGCCAAATTTGGGAGCTCCCTCAATGCTCCTGACCCAAATCCGAGCCACCACCGCCCTGGGACACTTTGCTCCCACCAAACTGTTTTGTATTCACACTCAGTGTTTAGTCTCTCACGTTCCCCTTGACCCCATCTACAAAACTGTAGCATTATTTGTTTTCATTCTATCTTTTCCATGTCCCACTGTCTTATCTCTCTAGTTGTAGCCACATTGTATAAGATTAACACATACATGAGCAGCTTATTTTGTACAGTAAAAACTTTATCAACAAAGTTACAATTCAGTAATATTTTACAATGCTTATACACAGATTTATTTCTTGTTATTGAAATTCTTGGAAGGCAATGAAATCATACTGCCTACATCACCAGTATTGTCATTGTCACCTGTTTGTTTTCCAGTAGTCATTCACAGTAAAGTAGGACATACTGGACTCACTCCCCAGCGTCTGCTTGTGTGAAATAGTCACAGTAAAATGCTCGGGTTAGTCTAGACATGGTCAGTACTGGATTTATTATGTGACTATATATTTAGTCACAACAACTGACACAGTTCATGGTGCAAATACCATATTACCTCATTGAATATAAATAATTAAATTGAGTTTAAAAACATAGGTACAAGTTATTTAGATAAAGGCATAAGCAATTTTAATCATAAACATATTGAATGTATTGTTTATTTAAAATCATTGATTTTATTATTTAAGCTTCACAACTCAACTTTAAAGGTTATATTTCTCACACAGGAGCAATAAAAATTGAGTATGACAGATTTCTTTGGTGAAATAACTAGAGAAAGACAGTGACAGGCTGAGGAAGCTGATGGTTCTGCTGCTGTGGTTAGTGATGGTTGAAAGAGAAGCAGAGTCTAAAACAGAGTCATGTGTTTTCTTGACCTTACAGGAAGTCTTCAGTCTGTCTCCTCTGTGTCCTTCTATCTCATTTGTATTGATCAAGTCAAACTCACCTAATATGAATATAACATTCCTCTTTTGACAGATCGTTTTAATGAAACTGCAGGAGCTGAATACATAAATCCTTAATCGAAGTCTCTTTTCTCTTTAGTTTAAATAAATAATACAAAAAAATGTGCAAGATTGGTGCTGCCACTGGTGGAAAGAGTGTGTGAAATGTGTACTCAAGTAAAGACACAGATACATGGCTAAAAATATACTCAGTTAAGTCAAAAGTACATGTAGCATACTGTTGCCAAATACTACGCAAAATGCTAGTACGCAGTTTTCATATTTTTGATCAGGCTTTCGTAGTCTTTTATACAAAACATGATTCATTTGATGTTTCGAGCTGCAGACAGTAACATCTGCATATTCTGTTAGCACTGACCAGTGAGCTACTTACAATGACATGGTTAGAATTATATGCAATTACAAATGGAGGTACAATACAGGTTGTGAAATCACTCCAAAAATCTACTGTCTGGATCTTTCTACACTCACTGAATACAGGGTTCCCAATATTTTTCACTCACAAACTTAAAAAAATTTTCCATGACTTTTTCATGACCTAAAATGAATTTTCCATGACTTTACGGCACCTACATGTGTAGAATTTATCAGACTTTTAGGGCTAAATATAAAATGTTAACTCTTTCCACTCACCTTATGGTTTGGTATTATAGATTTTTAACATTCAAAATACTGTCAGTGCATTTATTGTCGTCTCTTTTAAACAAAAGGCTCAAACATTCAGTAATAATAGCCTAATGATAACTTAACAGAACGCTGTAATTGCATGAAAGAGATACTAAAATTCTATGACTTTTCCAAAACTTTCATCAAATTTATAAAATTCTATG